TCCTGGACATAAAATAAACGATTGTTTTTAGGAGCAGTGCTAGTTATCGCAGCCGTTATCGACAACTGATAGAATCGTTTGAATTTGCATGGTGATCTACATTTTTGAGCTCTGTTATCGTACGTTTGATGGTACCATCATAATGTAAAAGAATGAGCGTCTCCTGGGGCATCATCAATTTCTGTATCTTGATCTAATTCGCGACCATCTTCTTTGTCTTTCGTTCTGACTAAAGTTCGTTAGTTTGCGGCATAAAACATTATCTTTTGTAACGCATCGATTCTTTCATCTGCTCTGGTGCTATGCCTTTATGGACTCGTGTGTATTGTTCTCTCATATATCCTGTCAGCTATTTTAGCGATGTTGTCTATGTTTGCATTGCTATTTCTAACTGCAAGAACCTGTTGCTCACTCAGTGGGAGTCGTCGCAGCTACAACCGATAAAATATGTTCCTATCTACCTTTCTGTATCCGATTATGCTGCTAATAAGATTTTTAACTGTAATGAAGTCCCATGTCCGGTTCGCACTTGACTAAGCAACTGCTCAACGGCTTGCTAGCCGTTTAACGAGACAGCACTTATCACTGCCTGCTTTAAGACCTCTTATGGGTTTTCTGTGTCTAGCTTAGCTAAGACCTCTCGCACATTGTCTGCTTCTTCGTCCGGAAGTAGTGAGCTCTCTGTGAGTGAATACGGTTGGTTACAAAATAATATTCAAGTTTAATAATTCAAAGTTGAGGGTCACTGACTGTAAAAGACAATAATAGACCTCACGGGCGGCGTTTGTGGAGGGTCCATCGTATCGTTATTTGAAGACATATTTATAAAATTTAGTATATAGTGTAAATTTCACTAATGGAAATGGACCCACAAAAACAATTATAATAAGAAATGGTACAATTTACAACATAGAACAGACTTAATAAATTGGACCAATGTATAAATCGTTCGTGAAAAATCGTTATTTATCATGAGTATTATCGTTAGGTTTAATAATGTTTGTGAGGTAATATACTTGTTATTAAAAGAGTGATATAATATATCTACAGCCATGATTATAATCCAAATGATAATCCGAATTCAGACAGAGCGCGTTGAGTTTTCGAAATCAGATTATATCGTTGAAAAGTATTCCATGTTCGTACGTTGGGTTACCAATTCTGTAGTGTCTTTGCTTCGTTAATAAATCACACGGATGACAGTTATAATATAAATCTCAACGGTTTTTGAAATCAAAAGGCAAAGAGGAGCGACAACTACAGTTTACTAGAGGACGGTGCAGGTCTCAAAGCTATAGGCACATTGAACGTAGTTGAATCGGAGGGGCGAATAAATATATGAGAATAATTACATAGGCAAACTTATAGTCAAATAGCATAAGGGTGCAGTAAGGTTAAGCAAGGATTAATAATAGGATTTGAGTACGTATATACGTGGGAAGTAGGGATCATCGAGTGATAATTAATAATAGTAATAATTTATTCTCAAATATCAGCTTGTTACATGAGGAATGCCAGTTTACAGGCAAGATCAAATTGTTACAAAAGACATTATTTTTACTGTAGTAAATTACTCAGCTGGGCTAATATTTTATAAGATGTGAATGAAGATGGTTTTAGTGAGAATTGCATTTTCAACATCACAGTTGGCGTGCTTTATGAAGACTTGATGGTCGAGAATAGATGCATGTCAAGTTGGGGGCTTTTATATATTCGCAACCTTATATCCCTTTTAGAATGCCTAAGGCTTTGATGATGGTGCAGGACGAAGTCACCCGTTTCATATCTGTTTTCAGTGGCATATCTAAAGGGGGCTAAAAAAGGGTGCAAGAAAAAGAAAAGACGAGAAGCAGAGCAGACAACGTTCATGAAAGAATAGTTAAGGTATGAATACTCAGTATGGGATTATGTGTAGTTATAAAATATAGTGGTGAAAACAGTATTCTGATACACAGGTGACTGCCGCCCTTTCCTGTCCAAGCTATTCGAGCCTATTTTTGTAGACTTTACGGGGTTTTGAGCAGACATCGTTTTTGGCGAACTGTCTAGTTTGCTTTCAATAGGATTACTCAGTAGGAAGTGAAACCAATTCAGCGTTCTTAACACGATTTAATGAGGTATTTTGCATAATAAATCAGCATCAATACCATTGGTTCGTGACATTCCACTAGACCATAAGGAGCCGTATATATATATATTTGTATAACATATATTTAATCTATACGTAAGATAACATACTACCAAGATAAAGTGCGTTGTTCGCAAGCAAAACATATCTGACTGCACATTAATCTGATGCTTCTTAGTTCTGACTATCGCTACAACATATTTACAAATGTCACTAAGATAACTACATCAACCTCTTACAAAGGGTCTGTATTATCTCCATTATGTTCTTAACTGTAGTGCCATAAGGCATATATCAAAATTTAAATATTGTGGTTGCGTTTTTCAGGTCTTTTTATCCAGTGTCAGATAGCACGTTGACCTAGCATATACATACGTTATATTACGTTGCTTTGATGCCCTTTGAATTTACTTTAAGCTAGCCCAACCATGGTCATTTTGTCACAGGCATCTGTTTGTACGAATTTGGCTGTCACATTAGTTGCCTTAAATAGAATTCGTCCTAATTAGAACCACAGCCAAAACAAAAATACTTATTTCCCACTCATTACTGCCCAATCATTAACCCGTTGTTCTATCAGTACTTTGATTAATGCTCACATGTACTACCATATTGTAATATTGATTAGTCCGCGGCTAATTACTGCGATCGATGCAAACAAGTGATTAACTATATTTATGTTTGGCTATGATAGTTCATTAACAAGCTTCAATAGCATTTAAACGCTTCAGTGAAATAGATTTGTTAGAACATCAAGAACTAGCAAATAAGGCCTCCGATAAATAAACACCGGCTAGCAATGTATGCAAGGATCTTATTCTTCACCTTGTTCCTTCAATTAGTATTTCACTTTATTTAAAATTGTTCGCTATCCCGTAACATCTTTCATTTCGACTAATTTCCACTTTTCGAGTTCCATTGAGAAACGACGAAGCCAATATTCGAGAAACTTATGGTGAGACTAAGCTATGAAATTTCTGCAATCTTTACTTCATTTCAGATGGTTTATGCATTAACAGCCACATAATTATATGGACTCTTGGATTTGTGCTGAATCAATCAAGTGACAAAATGTCAACAGCTTCAAGCGCCCTGGAATTAGTTACCCTACTGAATGCTTAACTTGGTTCCTTTTCGGTCTTCACCATTTGTCGCAACTGGCTTTGTGTGCGTCGAATCCATCGGACAGTATAAACTTTGCTGGATGATTTACTGTTCTTGTACTTGAAATATGTGTATTTTCACTTATATTAGCCGTATATATCTCATACGAACTACTCCCAAAACGTTTGTGCCGTAAGATATATTCAATATCTATACACGACAACATACTACATCACTTTCGAATTCACCCCATTAATGACAAAGCTCCATACCATTATCGTAGACATGAGCTGGGAGTCGTACTCCCCTTGACTGTAGCTTATGCTCTCCCTGGTAAGCACGTGGGCGTCACTCACTCTTTATCATCTTGTAAAATTTATTTGGCCGGAAGCATTGCGGCACACAGGCTTTGCAGATTTCAGCAGTTTTTTAATCACTATGTTTCACATAAGTCGTTTCTTGCCTTATGCTAAACCCCATACTCGCAACTGACATGTATGCACCTTCAGCCAGCAAATATGCATATAAATAACCGGCTTGCTGTACACGAAATCACTTAGTTCAGAACATGTGTCTAATGGACCCATTCATATTTAACTATTTATTGTCAGCTGTCTGTCCAAAATTCACATAGTCTGCACTTCCACGCAAAATAATTTTTGATATTCGTTCAAATGCATTAGTAGTTTTATTAAATCCTATCACGGTTAAATAATAATTAAATAGAGGAAGATCTCCCTGCAACCAACTAAACCATAATAAACTTGACAAACGACCTGGAATATTAATTATACTTCTGTTCCTTTAGTTGACCTACTAATGCAGATGCAATTTGTAATTGCCACATACGGACGGTACACCGGCATAAACACTAACTAAAAGCGGTATCTTGCATTATTTGTTGTGAGATATGATGATAATATTTGACGGAATACTGTTAACTGGCCGTGTTGTCGAGGTTGACGAAATTGATCATAAACCCGACTTCCTACAAGTACCATACTGTGAGTATTTGTAGTGGTAAATAGATCCTCAAAATCAGTATCTCTGCAAGTCTTCAACACTTGGTGCCAGCTGCATTGGCTTAAATGGACTCACCTAGCTAAGGGTGCTCGACTACTCATCCACACCAGATCACGAGTGGGTACGCCCTGCCTCACATCTCCTACGACCTGTAGCCTGTTTTGTACTTCCCAATATAAGGATATTCTGTCAAATATATCAGGTGTTGCTAAACTCCAAATACTTGTAGCACATTTAAATGTAACCGTGTTCCTGTCTGAAATTGATGATAACTTCGGTTAACACAGATGATGCAGTTCGGCCCACATCTGCCACGAAACTTCAAAATAAAATATTTCATCACAAAAACCATATCTCAGCTATTATTCATCAGAAGATCGTCATTCCGATAATGTTATATCACAATTTAGTCGTGATTTGTCAAGAAAATGATTTTGACTGGCGTGTTGTCTGTAAAAAGTAAAGTTGTATTCAGTAACGTAACATAACTGCTTATTTCATACGGTTTTGACAGATACCACGACAACACCTAAAACTCACGGAAACATCCAGCGAAGATTAGTAACACATGCCCTGTCTGTTATTACATTTGTGCGGTGTCTCCGCTGTTTTTCACGACAAAGACATTAAGGGGTTGTAATCTTCGAATGCCTATCCACCACGTAACATGAATTTCTTCCGTCTCAACGTGTAGCTACTATTGAACTTTGTGGTACTTTATCAGTTTACGAGGCGCGAAGGTATATGTTAACAGTGTAACACGGTAAGATAAAAACGTTCCCTGACTTAGAATTATCGATTGATTGACTGTGTGGATCGATGCCATTATTTTTGGCAGCTTAAGTTAGTTAGAAGCTAATTGAGCTGAAAATTTGTACGCATCTCATTGGGGATTTACTCCAATGACAATCCCATCAAACTGATCGAGTCGTTCACTACACTACCATGATTTAAGTTATATATATTTGTCAGTAGGTTTGAATAATCGTGTTAGTCTACAGATTTCCACTTTATTGACAAATGGCATGGAGTGCACTTTTGGCCAGCAGAGGCGTAAATGTACCATTTGAGTCAGCTGCCGAAGAATTGATATCTAAATAAACATTCAGCATAGTTTGATTCACATTAAATAAATCAGTATTAATCCAACCAGCGTGTATTTAACTTTCTAAAATGTAGTATCATCTCAGTCTAACATTGAAGCTAGGAGAAACATCGGTAGGCCTGTCTCATGTTTTCATTGCTGGTATATATTTATTTACAATTATCATATCAAAAGCTTGAAGTTAAGCTGGTCAAAACAGCCATAGACATGCTAGCTTTAGGGAAAAATTGCTCAGGTTGACCGAACAAACCGCTATAAATGAGAGAGCTCTCATCAAAATACGTTATTTATGATACTACTGAATAACTCTCGCTTCATCTGTCTCTAACCGTCTACGAACAAAACCCAAATATTTTCCACTTACCAGACTGTAAATCACACCCTTTTTGGTTTATTTATTTTACATGACTGTACAATTTAATAAGTTTTCTTAGTTCTGTGACCTGTTGATTGAGTTTTACGTACCCTGACTAATCAGGCATATCTACATGATCAAAGTGAACAACTAAACAATTAACTTGTCTCCACCATTTTGGTTATCATCTGTATTACAGAAATCATATCTAAATATCCTGAAAAAGGAATGGTGAATGACGTCTGTAATTATACTTTTATGTACATCGGAGTAACAACTTCGAGTTAGTACAACGTTCTTATTTTTTGTAAAACTCAGTGAAAACTAGTTCATATTTTCGGGCTGTAGTCTTGAATTGATTTTAAACGAATATATTTGGTTAAATTTACCTTGTCATAAGCTGGTCTCATGTTGGAATTCCGTTTTAAATAGGTTAAACACAGGCCTTCAATGCTTCGAAGATTATTGGTACACAGGTTTTGATTATTGCTACTGTTATAGCCCCATTTTAGATCCTTAAAGACGAATTCTCTTCAATATCACAAACTCTCCACAACTACTAAGCTTTTAGACTTAAGTGAATTTTTTGATGATAAGAAAAACTGGGGAGAACCGACTGTATATAGCGGAAGACCATGGCGCAAAGAAGAGCTTCGACTGAAGAGTAATGTTGATCTACATAAACTGTGGTACGTGCTTCTGAAGGAGCGTAACATGCTGATGACTATGGAAGAAGAGCATTTCCGTTGTTTGGAGCAAATGCCTAATCCTGAGCGCTTTGAGAAGGTAGGTCAATGTGTATACATATTGGATAATGTTATCGCGCTTACTTTAGAAGTTTGTCACCATAATTAGTTTGAAGTTATAAAGTTAGCTTTACTGAAATGATACTGGCTACTTGTAAATTATGGCTGTGGCTTAAGAGTTACAACATTCGACTTCCAACCATTAGGTCGCATGTTCGAGTCACGCTCCGTTTACTTCGGTTTGGGCAGCTGGGTAGTATGCTAGCTGTGACTTAAAGCTAGGGAAAACGAATTTGTACTTGGCGAGTCAAGTCAAATTACCTCTAAATCGTATTATATTTGAGTGTTGAGACGAAGTGTGTTGTTTTATTACGCTTATAAACACTAAGAAAACTGAATTTACTAAAAACGAATAAAGTAAATACTGATCAAATGGTGCTGCCTTTTCATGTCGTTACAATATTCTACGTTTTGTGCTGGGAATTCTTTAGTGTAACCAAACATTTATTAAATAAAGCGGCTATTAATAATGCGCATACAGAAACACTTTGAAAGCTTACTTTTGATAGAGAAGCGAAATATTAGTCTTATTTGCTCATTATCTGCTATTCAGGCGCTATCACTGATGATTTTGCCGACATCTGTTGATCTTACTCATAGAAACCAAGCTAACAAATACAGTTGTGCTAGTGGAGAACCTGAAGGTTGATGGGTGCATTTTATTTAGTAGGGGTCCGAGATATAACAGTGACCAGGGCTTGGAGACTGTTGAGACATCTCACGACCGACCAGTGGGGTAGGTGTATTAATTCTTAGTCTTTCCCTATGTCTTAAGCCTTAGTATTACCTTGTACTCTTAATCCATCGAATTCATTTCCTTTCGAACGGTATTCACCAATGTTTTATCTTTTCCAATATAACTGATACCGCTGTTATTTCAGATTTTGGTGTTCCTCCAAGTAATTTCGTCTCTCCGCACTGATATGGTGTGGTACATCTAACTGGATTACGTTTATCCCAGGTCCCATGTTGACCATGACTAACTACAATGACTATATGAATTCCGGATTCACTTTGTCTTGACGTAGCGGTTGGTGAGATTGACCTAGGGATATACAGGGAAATGGTATCATTATCGATCATAACTAAAGAGGTTTATCAGAAGAACATCACTTGGACTCCAGCGTGTGTTGTTACGTGTTTGCATGTGCCTTTGTCTAAATATGCACAAGAAACGTACATTTGGAAAGTGTGTGTGTTTGGTTTGATAGTAAGGCTGTTTTTAAAGAGGAAATTGGTTAGATCGTTGACAAAACATGCAAACGATCACAGTAAAGATGTAGTTTGGTATGGAAACAACGGTAGGTCATTTAAACATAAAGTATGGGTCTTGGCAAAAACTTGGATTGGCTCATGTTGATGTCCAGAAAACACGTAGAGTAAGTTTACAAAGTGAATATCATAGGAGTCAAGGTAGCATTAATAACATGGGAAAACTGAATAGAACATAGTTCACAGCGAATTAATGAAATTAAGGGATAGGACATATGACCTAAGTCAATTTAGATCTCTACGGTTGTTGTACAGACTCTAACTGGGAAGTTTGCACTTCTGAACATAAATCAGTCTAATAGTCAATCCCTTTAAAGAACTGGTGCCAACTGTAGCATTCTTATTAGCTACTTCTATGCCAGCCGCCATTGGATATGAGAGATGGCGTCTGAAAGTACTCCACCCATGCAGCAGGCATCTTAGCCAATAGAAGTCCATAGCACCATTAATTGGTTCATAATCTGACTAAAACTGTGAATAATCTTGGATCCCTTAATGGTCTTCATACAGATAAACTACCTCAAAGACATCTGTAGTCAAACACCATCAACCCACACTGTAGCCGTTATTTTGACGAAGTGGTCAGACTTGTCAACTGTGACGCCGAACTACGTTAACTAGGATCCTTCCCCATTAAATATTTCATTGAAGCAACGACAGTTGTAGACTGTTTGAAAAAGGACGTAGATATTTCACGTTTTCAAAAAGCTGTGATCGAGATTGAAGATGGTAGAATTAGGTTAGGGAAAATAGATGTAAAATGATCGTTTGTGAGGCTTATTATTTATAGATTGTGTAAATAATGACTAATTCTATGTGGATTAACGAGCATCATTTTTAATAGTTTATTTAATACAAGTATGTTAACCCATGCTATCTGTTTAGAACGAGCTTACTTCACAATTTAAGTTACATTACATCTGTTTTTAAAATAGGTTGAGGAGAGTATGGAGAATCTTTTAATGGTGGTAGAAGAACGTAACCGTGCAGAAGATGAATTAGAAAAAGGTGAATGGGTTGGTCCAAAGGTTGTGGAGTCAGTAGACCCGTTGGGTCGAGCAGTTCAGACACTGACCAGTGAACATCTTTCTCCTAAAGTTATACCAAGTCATGCACAATCAGATGAGTGCATGTGGAGTGAAAAAACGGTGAACTTGTTGCGGTTGGAGCGCGAGAAACGAATTATCAGAAGGCGCGAAGAGCAACGAAGACAGCGTTATTCCGATAGACTTAAACACTGGAACAAAAGTGACTATCTCAACGAAGATTCGATTTGAAGCCAATTGGCATAAACTTATATTATCTTAGTGTATATATTGTAAATAAGTACTTTAATATCTACATGTGTTAGTTTATCCGACTATAAGGAAATATTCTATGGCTTATAACAGTTCCGAACATTTTTTGAATTTAAATCACAAACCGACATGTTGCGGCAATAAATGTTAGACAATTTAGTTCACATTGACTGTAGCTAAGCAGTTCTATTGGTTGTCTAGTTTGTCCAGCCTGTAATGTAAACTACGAAATCCAACAATCCCCGGGAAATCTCGTATACTGAAAGTAATGGTTTTCTTAGGGTTGCGTGAGCCAATAAATAATAAAAGCCTAGATTAACACTAGGTAAAATGCCACAATAAACCAGTTTCCAAAAGATCTCGTGTCACTTATCAAGCGTACATTCTTAGTATGGTCTGATGTCACTTTCAGGTCCAGAAATACAGCCGGATCCACGATCTTTGGTCTTGCACACAAGCGCTTAACCTCCAGACTACTGAGAAGGGCATCCATGTCTGGCTTCAATCTATCTATGATCTTGCGCAACCCATCATCGATTGTCTGAGGAGGAACGGTTGTGAGAAACCATGGATCGGTTGAAGTTAAACATAAGCATCGGTGGATACCCCTCTTAGTAGTCTGGGGGCTTGTGTGCAGGACCAAAGATCCTGGGTCCGAGTCCCACGTGCGGAGTCGTAGATGAACACCACTGAGGAGTCCCATGCTGGGGCGAAGCGTATTTCTTAGCGCGTTACCTGGTCCTGTTTTTGCCCCCGGCACTCCTACTCTGACTCCAGCAAAATGTGGATTCCAGTTATTACGTAGTAAAAGACTAACATGCTAAGGAATACACTAGTCTGGGTAGAGTATATTCAAGCCACTAAGGGGTCCCACAATAGGTTTCCAATGTTGGCCTAGGTTCAAATGACTCACAAGAAACCCCTTCTGATACAAATCATTATTTGTTTGACTGTGATTCTTAAATAGAATAGTATTCGCTGAAAAAATCGGGAACTAATTTCATGATAAAAGAACTGGCTGGTAGTAACAGAATAACTAGGATCTAGAAACCTTTGGTTTTATATTGGGAGACCCAAAATATTAGTATCTTTCGAAAGGGTATATCTAAGAAGGGGATTGGTAGAGGTTCCTTCTAAACGCCACGATATACTTATATTACGAATAGAGTCCCTTAATGCAATTTACGAAGAAAACTAATCTACACCAAGTTTCCACTACATTACTTTCTAGACTATTAATGTATTTCCACTATGATTTGTATTTAGTGATAATTACTCAGTACACAGATTATAATCGATGTATAACCGATCAACTTAAACATGCTTTTAATTCCACTGGGTTCATCATTAACAAAACTTCTGTTGCGAAACTGGGGTTCTTACTGTAGTTAGCGAAGTAGGGAAGAATAGAGTAGCAGTAGTCCCATTCACCGTATTGATATTGAAGTTGCTAGTTATTCCTTGTAAACGCCTAGGTGTCCTTAAATTTAACCGATAATAATCAGTCAAAATATTTCTAGTGAAATAGCTACGGTGATCATAATTATGTGTAGTTAACTATTGACCTCTGAGGTGAATATGAACAATGATATAAGTAATAATCTCAACATCTAAGAGACATTAGTGTTACACATATGTACATATATTTATTAGTAAAAACACATTTCACATTGACTAGGAACGTAACTGCTTTTCCAATTCTAGTGTCTTTACTAAGGCGTGATTCAACTTCTTGCCGACACTTGTTGCTAACTAAAAATAAAGCGTGTTAGTCAAGATTGTTGTTACCTGTGACATTTCAACAATTGATTCTAATTGACAACTACAACATCCATCTTGTTCTAAAGAACCAATTGAACCATCTGGATAGATAACAAGAGATAACCTAAAACTACTTGTTAAGAACAATTTATTGCAAATCTGACCTGGATAATGAACAGGCTTCTTCCTCCTTACTTGCATCTATGATATATGTTTTTCCAATCTAGAAAATCAAGTGAAAGCACATTGCCTTAAGGTTTTTGAAGTAACGATTAAAACGGGTTGTTTTTAATGGCTTGGTTTTCAATTCTAAAAACAAGGGTAAGCCATTTATCTAATTAGTATCGTTTACATTCAAGGAACATGCTCAACCAATAGTCCGGTAAACTAATCTGTAGCTGATTGGACAAGAAATTCGGCTAACGGGTGAGTCGATATGGTTATGATGAATAACAACTAAACTACTTACTTACGCTGCTATGAATCCGATGTCCATCTTGTTGTGCTGATGCGGTATGGCAGCCTGGACCGATGCACACATGTGCCTGGTCCTACGTTGTAGCTGACTGACTTACGCTGTTACCCCTCGTGGAGCAGCACAGGCCGCTCACCAACATTATCCATCCAACTCTGTCTGGGGTACTCTTTTCCAGTTGCTATTCGTCAGTCAGTAACAACGTAGAACTTCGTACGTACATACATCAGTTCGGGTTGCCACACCACATTAACACGGAGATGCAGTTGTCGACTCAATTTCCGTAGTGGTAGGGGTAGTAAGAGTATAAGCAGTAACCGGAAACATTAGGGCTTGGAGATGTTACTCAAGGAGTATAATTAAGTGAAATAAATTTGGAAAGAGAAAAAAGAGAGGCAAGGAGGATTCAGGAAATTAGAATTCGGGAGAACACAAAGAGTGGATGCACTTGCGCCATTGCAAACGATTTTGAGCCATATCATTCAGGGTCTCTAACCATCGGTTGCTGTCATCTCGCGGTTCCCAACCAGGTAGTCTACACCTACCAACATGGCTCAGTCCACTTGTCAGTGACTTTATGAACTTGCTATTCATCCTTTTGATATATGCTTCCAGTTCTCGACGCAGTGTATTCTCTGGAATTCCTCTTTTCCGTCTCTTCAGCATTCCAAGTAGGCGCATTCTTCGTGATGCAGTTTGATGATTCCTGAAATGTATGTCTCGTCTACCGCCATCATTTCTTAATTTTCGCTTCAGATAGAAGCTGGTTTATTCTCTCCCATAGTGGGCTGTTGCTGATGGCATGCGATCAACGGACATTGAGTATCGTGCGTAAACAGTTGTTTATAAATGCTTGTAGTTTTTTTATGGTGGTAGTAAAATGTAACTAAATTACCCGATTCAAATTAAACGCTTATATAAGATGACTAGACACAGCATGGACAAGTGTCACTAAATGCATAATACAATGTTGAAGCTCTTAAACAGGAAATGAAATAAGCAGCATGTGAAAACATACATTTATTTTCGGATTTACTTTTACGAGTATACAGTGTTCTGAGTCAATTGTTAATGGAAGGTCTAGTGAATTAGAGGTATGCATGAAATATGAAGATCATCAGGAAAATAGTTTGTATGATACTGAAAGCATCAAATACATCAACACTATGACGAATATAACGTTAATTATAACCAATAGTTTAATAATTAGACATTCTAAAACTGATTTACAAGTGTACCTACCTTATGTATTGTGACAAATAACGGCAACATATCTCCACGAAACTGGTGGACTTCTGCCTCAACAGACTTTGGGTTGTTTTGAAAAACAGACAATAATAAAGAATTTGACTGTCTAAAAAGATTTCTTAAGATTTTAAAGCAACAGTGACATACGTAGCGTTTAGTAGAGCAGCTTTGACTACCAGGGAGGAAGCATCAAGTAAGTTTCCAGCACCTTCTAAGATCTGGGAAAAACAATTATATACGAAGAAAACTAACAAGCAGATCGATATAGATGACCCAGCACTGTCGACCTCGTTGGATACACAGAGGGCTTAGATCTATAAACTTCGAATGATAGATTGATTGTAATGTTGTCTTCAAACGTTCCTCCAGCTCGGACGCTGCCTTCTCACTACACCGGTGAGTTGCTGTAGGATAACTGAAAAGGAAAATTCTGTACAAACCGCCGGTTTTATAATCAAAAATGCACTTAATGTTACAGTTAATGAGACACATGCGATATTGAAAGCATATGTTGACACAAAACATTAAAAATACGCTTCAAAGTGATATATTATTTGAAGGTGAATACCTCTCATTTTTAAACCAACGAAATAGGTGAGAGTACTTTATAAACTTTAGTAACACTCACCATTCAACATTTATTTCAATACGACCTTCACCAGTGTTAGTTAAAGAAGGTTTGCCAACCTCCATTTTAACACAGCAAACAATGAATGTTTCACCCTATAAATGATGAAATCCAATGTGGATATGATGTACTTACAATACGAATACTAGCTGAACCAGTCGCGTGACTTAAAATATTGGTTTCAATTTCCAAAGGTCGATATTCACTAGGTTCACGACCATCCATTCTACATCCCACCTAAGTTTAGTTGAGTTTAGCAAATAAGCTTACTTCAACTCCTTGTACTAAGTAGAAACGTTCAAGATCACTCAATAGGATTGTGTCCATAGTAATTCAATATCAAACCAAGCACTTTATTTCGATATACCTGTATATGAAAATAAAATTCATGCAATAGTACAAAAAAAGTTTAACGACTGGTATTTACAAACTTTGTATTCGTATTTTTAAAATAATTGACCTGTGCATATTATGAAACTTTCAAATGCAACTAGCCCTGAAAATGAGGTATGGAACATCAGGTGTTTTTAATGATATATAAGGGACCAGAGAACATTTAAGTCCTCCACCAATTTCATAAAGTACTCCAAAATTCCAGTTCGAATATGCACAGACTAGTATTCTCAATAGTGAGTAAGTGTCTAGACAAATAGGAGTTTCCATCAGACTATTAAAAATAAATTGTAAGGTTTGATATTAATATTTGATCAACTAATCGTTAAAAACGCATCAACAGGGATGACAAGTACATTCAATATGCGCAGTGAATCTCGAAACCTATTTTTTGGCCTTTAATCCTGGAGAAATAAGGAAGACTCGATAACATACACGGACGAAAGAAAGTACTTACGCGAGACTCACAAGTGCAGTAACGCACAATTTTGAAAGCACGAGTGCCATAAGGTTGCACTTTTCAAACTTCAAACCATTCTCTAAAATTTGCCTATTGAAAACTTCAGTTGTTCGGTAGGAGAGCGTTCTTCCTAATGCAAAGACATACTTTATTTTGTGTTGTTCCTGGTAATGAAGTCCAAAACACGACAAATTTATTGATAGTAATTGTATTCAGTTTCGTACGCTGGGGACAACTTAGAATTTTATAAAATTCTATGCCTATAGGCATATGATATACTAAAAAGTTTGTTTCTCTCTTTCTTTTTCACGAGATAAACACATCATCTGCACAAATATATGGGTGAAATAAGTTACTTACTTACGCCTGTTACTCCCAATGGACCATAAGCCGCCAACCAGAGTTCTCCAACCCACTCTGTCCTGGGACGTGAAATAAGTAATGAAATCACATAATGGTTGCGCACTGCTGAGGAGCCCATACTAGTATAAAACGGCCGTCCAGTGCCTCTAGGTTTTCAAAGTTAGTTTATCATTAATCATCTTATGTTCCCAGTAAAATGTAATATTTATTGGTAAATTCGAATCCATTCTGTTGTAAATCAGTGCTGTGTTCAAGAATATAAGCTTTCTATTTGGTCAGGTGTTATAACATTTTCGTCACACAGCAATTGTGGGAGATAAAGTTTTATAGGTCTTTATTATGTTTCATACGATTTTTAACATTTATAAATTTGATTTGAGCCAAAAATAATGTTGAAGAGTACTACAAACCCATTATTATTCTCACCAGCTGCTTACGACTTATTTCCCTTGTCATTATTCTTCACTAACCAACACTTTTCCAATATTATGTTACACAGTGTGTAAGCTAATTTCAGCGAATAATACTATTATGTTTAGGCTGTCCGAGGCTGATGAGAGATAGGGAAACCAGTGTCTAGTAGTAGGGATAGGATATCAATTGACCTATATTAGTAAATTTGTGGTAATGTGAAGATCCAGTCCCTTTTCGGGTGTATCAAAAGATGTAAGCAACCTGATTTTGGTTTTTGAACTCTTTTGGGGTGAGTTCTCACATAATCATTCCTGAATGGAAAGAAAGGATAAGACAGATTATTACCAAAATCATCATCCAGTTTATGGTAAGAGAGCACTAAGTCACTCCGTAAACCGAGATAAGGTTACAGGAACATGTTGAAGCGTCTGAGTATGCATTCATAAAATGGGGTAACGAGACCTTTTTCCATTTTGGTCCCTCGCCGTTAAACATATTTTAGCATACTTGCTTCATATGCAAAACAAGGACTTATAGCCCGAATTCCATATTCCAAAGAAGGCTTCAAAAAAGCCCACCACTCAGGGGCTCGGACTTGTAGTCTTAGCATCGAAATAGGGACAATAACGGGACGGTGTGCATATGATTCAAATACAACTCTCTTTGAAACTAACGCACAACAACAATGCATTGCACTGTCCAATCGCTCATAGGCGATCAGGAAACCCGAAAATCACGCGTAAACCATAGGAGCACACCATTAGCTCGGCGCATCCTAGACATAATGAATTCAGTGATCTGCTTACCAAGGACCGATTCAGTTTTTCCCGGTCAGTGCATGCAATCAGTGCCGAGCTTGCCTATGGTAATGTCGGGTCCTGGTTTCCAAACTACTGCTCTGCCTCCACCTCCTCCACCCCCACCACCGCCACCCCCTACATTTGCGCAACAGATGCAGGCTCCAGCTTCTAATCTCTTAGAAACCTTAATGAGCAGGGCAGGTCTACCTTGTAATACACTAAGCGATTTAAATCTAAATAATAAACCAAATGACAAACCTGATTCTGTTCGTGAGAGCTCTCCCATGAAACAAATCAACAAACTGTTAAGCTCAGCTGCAAGTTCTCTTTTAAACCAACTTGCAGGTAGCCAAAGAACGGATGTAGACACTTCCTCTTCTGATCCATTGCCACCTCCTCCACCACCACCGTTACCATTCCAACAACATAATGAGCTGCCGCCAACCACTTCTACTCTGTCACATTCATTCGTACCTCCTCCACTCCCAGCAGTAATTAATCCGTTTTCTAACAACGAAATCGGTGACAAAGTGTTGCCTAATGGTGCATGTGGAGAAACTAAAACGGAAAGTAAGAAACCTTTTGGAGACATGAAGATTGAGGAAGTACTAGCAAAGCGGAAAAGATACGACTTCTCTTCACGTCGTGAGTGGCAAGAACGTATCGCCTTGGAAGTAAAATCAGTTTTAAAACCTGCATACTCTCTACGACGTATAAATAAAGAAGATTACAAAGAAATCATGAAAAAGGCTGTTACTAAGGTAAGAGGTATCAGTAAATGTATACTAGTTCATTGTAGATTTCGCGAAGTGGTACTTCTTCAATCAATACCGAAAAAATAAGCACATTTGTAAAGCTGTATATTGAGAAATATCACCGTATGCATAAAATAAAAGCTCAGGCAACTGCAAAGGCAACTGTACAGTGAACGTGTTATTTTAATTTCATTGTAAATTGTATATAATATAGATTATTTAATATATACCAGAAGGTTATGTTTTTCAGCTCATGTTAGAAACAGCATCTTCTCTATTTATAGGTGTTTTATATAGTTTGTCATAATTAACATACAGCCTAGAATAAATGTGTGTTAGCCCAAGTTGCCATGTCACTTCAGGACGGCGAGTTGAAATTAACAAAAATACCAAATAAGTAGAAGCCATGTAGTATTAGTGTCAATGACTAGAACTAAACATGAAGAATATGGTTCGAAAAAGATGAGTTTTTAGTTATTATATACATCATAGGGTGTCGATATGTCACTACATTTTTTGGTGTAAGTAATACAAATACAGTTATTCATGAGGCTTTCTTCCAACGGTGCTTCATCTCCAATTTCTGTCCTAGAAGTATGTAACCTTGATTATTTTATAGCTGTACCTACCTACATTTGTATTCTAAAGACCAAAATAATTGATTAGGCGTATGATTCATTCAGCTATCCTCATAAGTACATCAATGATAAGTCTGTTAGAAACGGTTTAGTATACTCTCTCAAACTAATTGAACTTTTTGCCCTAATTTATATCTTGCTTTTAGTGTGCAACTCTCATTTTGACAAGTCCGATTGGGTCCTTAGTTTCCACTAAAGTAAAGTCCCAAAAACTGTTACATGTTCTTGTTTTTACAACTTTTGAAGTGGATTCGGGCTGCAGTAGCACTTTAGGCAACAAGAATCTCAGTATATATGTATATTTGCCTATGCAGAGAGATGAAAATCCGACTACCACAATGAACAGTGGATATTGGCCGAGACTGGCCCTAAAATCACTACCTCCCGATCCAATCAGTGTTGGCTTTCACACACGTGTTCTAGATTCCATTCCAGCCATAAACTCATGTTCTCTAGATGGTTAAGAGTTGGATTTCCAAATGTGTATGGTTGCATATCCCCAAGTTTATGCTCCCTATGGTTGCGTGACACCTGTTACTCAAAAGGTCGTCTTAGGTTTCCTTAAGATTGGTTCGTACTATAACCCTTAAGTTAATGGTGTCAATGTAGAGCAGAAAGTTTAGACACGAGCTGTTTGATGAAATTAGTGTTTAGAAACTGATGGCTAAACGTCTCTCTCCATTTGCCTGATAACAGTTTCATTAGTTGGCTTTGACTGAGACTAGTAAGGAATTCAGTCGCAGTTGGTTAGCCCGATTAAGGAACGGTGGTAATCATTGAAGTTTACCATTTGTGTTCTAAGTCGTGTCAAAATTTATGTTGTTAATGTTGAGTTTTCAATGCACTATGACTAACCCTGATACACCGATTTATTCATAATCGGTTGTCGGTGGTACACTCTCATCTGTGTCCCACGTACGAACTCAGAACCAGGGCTCTTTCCAATATTACTATGATGTGATGTTCTCTCGGTTCGATTGCGAAGCTTCCACTAAACCATTTAGTTCTGAGAATAAAGCACTATATTGAGCTGCAGGTCTTTGTTATATTACCATAATGTTTTCCAGGCGCATCAGTAGGAAGTGGATCGAGCACTCAATGCTTATCTTGACGAAAAGGATGATGGGGAAATGAGGTGTAGTGCAGTGATTAATGTTTGTTTCTACTGACCTACGATGTTGAAGTTCAGTCTATCTCCTATTGTGACCGGCCTCAAGCGGTTACCACTTGAGCACTGCGGTCACGCTCTCGGGTCACTAAGACCAACTCTAACCCAATTTCCTTTTCAGGTACCTCTAGAAGGACCTCTCCACGGTGTGGACAACCGGGAAGTTATAACTGCCCTCATACCTCTAACAGCACTTAAGACCATTGGATTCATAATCAACTTCCCTCTTCGGTTCCTACTATTCCCCCTACCTTGACTACTAACTCCAAACTTCTTTCTTCGAATTCCTCCTCAAGTGTCAACAATTCTAGTGCGTGAAACACTGTCCCAGATTTACTGAAACCTCGCTCCAAACTACACATTGGAGCCTTCAACGTATGTCAAGTCAACCAGCAGGCCTCCTTGGCTAAGACCCTAAAGCCTCGCACCGTTGGTGTATGCTGTCTCCAAAACATACGGGATCCTGGTGGCTAATATTTTAGCTGAGATTTGTGAACTGAATGTCGTCCCATATGACTGGTCTCAATCACTGATCGTCCCAATGTATCAAAATCATCCTGTGATAACCATGGAGGGGTTAGTTTGACCAACATAGCATCTAAAATACTAGCCTCAATAATTATCGGGCGCCTAATTAAGACTCGTGAACTGCAAATATGAGAACACCAGACTGGCTTCAGACCTTATCGTGACTGCATCGACCACATATTCACCATTCGTCAGGCTCTAAAACACAGTCATGCTTATCGGCGTCCGACAATGGTGGTCTTTCTTGACATAAAAGCAGCATTTGACTGTAGACCGAGAGGTTCTGTGGTAGTGTCTGTCATTGAAAGGTGTACCTCAGAAGTACATAAACTTTGTGAAGGCTATTTACTCGAACACTACTAGTCGAAATGTCATCTGGTTTTCCGACCTCAATCGGTGTACGAGAAGGCTGTCCACTATCTCCATTTTTGTTTAATTCCGCCATAGACCTACTGATGGAAATAACGTTCTCATTGTCAGAATTTTGGGTAATTGATCTACCAGGAGGTCCGCTTATCGACTTAGAATATGCAGATGACATAGTTCTGTTTGGTGAAGACGCTGATAAAATGCAGAGTCTTTCGGTAGCACTGAGTGGCAATGCCAGGATGTTTGGGATGCGTTTCTCAAACTCTAAATGCAAGTTGTTGCTTCAGGACTGGCCTGTGTCAACACTTGAACTAAGGATGTGGAGTGGAGTTGTCGAGGGTGTCGAAAAATTCACTTTTCTTGGTTGTCTAATCAGCCCTAACAGGTTAATATCTGACGACATCTCTGCATGTATCCAGAAAGCTCGTCTGGCTTTCGCCAAGTTGGGTTAGGAGCTAATGCTTTCTCCCTGTACCGTATTCTTATACACAATCTTTGTATATATATATATATATATATATATATATATATATATATATATATATATATATATAGCCATTGAAGTAACATCTATGAATTCAGTGTTCACCTTGTTGTGTTGATGACGTGTGGCAACTTGGACCTATGCATTTACCTGCCTGTTTCTACGTTTTTGATGACAGATTAACTGATATTTCGTAGTCATAGTCTCCCTTACCCTTCTATGCTTCATGAGTTTCACTCCTACAGCTCCCAAGCAATCTGATTATGTCATGTTTTTTTATTCCGAGTACTTTCGAAAATGTTTCAGGAGGGCAATACGCTTCCTAATGTTACGTGGAATTATTAGTATCATAATGAAGAAGCCAAATGACGAGTTATTATTTCGAATGATCATCAAGTGGTGTCTATTATTTTTTTATTTGGTTTTATAGATTGCCTTCTTATACTGCAGTTAGTCAATCAGTAACAACGTAGAACTTTGTACGTACGTACATCAGTTCGAGTTGCCATACCACATTAGTTGTTAATTCAAACCCTATAGTGGTAGAGGTAATAAGAGTATAAGCAGTAATCGGAAACATTAGGGTTTAAAAATGTTATTCGAGGAGTATAATCCAGTGAGAGAAGGAGAGAGACAAGGAGAATTCAGGAGATTAGAACTTGGGGAGTCGATGCACCTGCGCCATGGCAAACAATTTTGAGCCATATAATTAAGGGTCTCTATCATCTATCATCTCTCTATCATCTCGCGGATCCCAACCAGGTAGTTTACACCTACCAACATGACTCAGTCCACTTGTCAGGGACTTCATGGAATTATGACATGTTTTGATCTGGCCGCCCCTAGCTGTCTTCCAGCCTACTCCTACACCACTGAACATCGCACGTCGAGGCAGTCGGTCGTTGGGCATACGTAACACGTGTCCCAGCCATCTCAACTGATGGAGTTTCGCTACCTCATCAATGGATATGCCATCCTTACCTAGTACCCGTTTACTAACAACTGTGTTACTTGCTCGATGGTCCCATGATATACGAGCAATGTTTCGAAGACACCTATGATCGAATACTAGTAACCTAAGAATATCCTCTACTCCTACCGGCCATGTTTCACTGCCATAAAGTACGACGGAACGAACTGCTGCGCAGTAAACACGTCCTTTGGTTGATAGACGGATGTCTCGCCTACGCCATAAATCATGCAAGTTGGCAAGAGCTAGTCGAGCCTTCTGTATCCGTGCTGAGATTTCGTCACACACCAGACCACAAGGGCTGATGAAACTTCCAAGATAAGTGAAGCGGTCGATACACCCAACTACTTCACTCTCTATTATTAGTTCGGGTGTCAATGCAACCCAATCCTGAAGCAACATTTTGCATTTCGAGGGAGAGAATCGCATCCCGAACATGCTTGCATTGTTGCTTAGAGTGGTCAGAAGACTGCATCTTGTCAGCGTCTTCACCAAATAAAACTATGTCATCAGCATATTCTAAGTCAACAAGTGAATCTCACGGTAGAAGTTCAACCCCTGGAAATTTAGATGAGGAATGTGTCATCTCTAAAAGCACGTTAACGACAAAGTTAAACAAGAATGGAGAGAGTGGACAGCCCTGACGAACACCACTCGAGGTTATCAATTCTGATGACAGTTCGCCATAAGCTCTCACTCTACCAGTTGTGCTCGAGTAGAGAACCTTTATAAGGTTAATGTAATTCTTAGGTACTCCTTTCAGTGACAAACTCTGCCATAGAACCTCACGATCAACAGAGTCGAATGCTGCATTAAGGTCAAGAAATACTACCATTGTGAGGCGTCTGAATATGTGTCTATGTTCTAGGACCTGATGAAGTGTGAATATCTGGTCTATTAAACCATGTTCAGGTCGAAAACCAGCCTGGTTTTCTCTAATCTGCTCTTCACGAGCTTTAGTTAGGCGTCGAATAATTATTGAAGCTAATATTTCAGACAATATATCAGTCAAATTGATTCCTCTGTGATTGTCACAAGAGGACTTTCGGCCTTTTTTATAGACTAGCACAATCTCAGAGGTAAACTTGTCAGAGCCTGCTGCTCTCCCTCGTTTCAGATTTTCTATAGCTTTTTCAACTTCGTAAAGAGTTGGAGTACTTACATTAACTTGCCATTCAAGTCGACTGGAGATCGTGCGAAACCGAAGTGTGGCTGGAGGCCAGTCGAACTGATCCCTCAAGTGTTCTGCCTATCGATCCAATCTTCTGGATTGAAAATTTATAATATTTCCATTTTTTTCTGAGATAGTTTCGCTAACAGTCGGTTTCCTAATACCGGTTTCCTTAACAAGTCTGAACAGTTG